CCACAGGGTCCAAAGGACACCGGTGAAAGCGACTAAACCACTGCACCACCACCATCACTAGCTTTCAACAGGCCGAAAACAAAGAAGTGGACCACTTGCATAACACTCTTCTAGAACTCAAATGACCAAAGTCGGACTGAAGATGATTATTTATCGCAAAAATGGGTAAATCAAATTAAACAGAGCGAAACACATCACCTGGAACAACTAAGTCATAAAAAACTGTGGATCAGTGATCAAGCAGTTCGAATGTTGTTACAAAATTAAATGCACTTATTCGTTTCCGGATTTTCTGTATATTTTGAATACTGTGAGTTCACGCCAACCGCTATTTGCTATCTGTGTACATTAGACCACACACCGATTATGCTATACAGGCTTGGAATCCATGGCTGATTCGCGACCAAAAAACACTGGAATGTCCGCATAGAACAGCAACCAAAAGGGTTACAAGCTGAGAACTACGGTGAAAGACTTCGAGTTCTCGGACTTTATTCGGCTGAATACCGTCGAATACGGGGAGACATGATCCTCGTATATGAAATACTACATCAATCTAACCATCCGTGTACTACTCTACTAACTACCCGGGAATGGTCACCTCAGAGGACATCCGATTAAACTGTTGCTACGAAGGAGTCGGCTAGACTGCAGGCGTCATTCTTTCAGCCTCAGAGTTTGCAATACCTTGAACTCTCTTCCACCTCGAGTTGTTTGTGCACCAACCACCGATTAGTTCAAGTAACGACTGGATGAAGCGTTGAAACACCTATCTTCTCAGCACCCGTGAGTGAACATCGTATTCTGCTATTTAATTGTACTAACAACCGGACCCAGTGAGTACAGATCCCATAGGATCCAATAAGCATCAGCCTTGTAATTTACCCATAATAAAAATTTGAAATTTCCCGACTGGTGGCGGCTTAGATGATCACAATATTACGAACGGTCATCGTGATGTTTCTATCGTGAAACTGAATTGAGAAATTATAGTGTTCCTATAATTTTCACACTTCTTCCGGTACGCGGCTATAATTATGAGACATTGAGATTGTTTGAACCTGGTTTACAAGTCACATGCGAAGATTACTCCTAGGTCTTAAACCGCTTGGCTTACGCTCTTTTAGGAATATGTAGTAGAGAGGTGCCTGCCTAAATAAGATTATTGTACAACTGCATCGGAAAAGATTGTCGAATTCAGTAAAGGGGCGGTGGTGGTCGAGTGGTAAGTTGGTCGAAATAACCATTACGGGGTTCTGANTGAATTCGAACTTAGGCAACGACGCCCATCTTCCCGTTATTTGGATTTCCTCAGGCAGCTTTTCTGTGGCCGCGGTTCCCTTCCTGAAATAATAACATATAATCAATAAACAAAAAGGAAGTAAAAGCGTTTCTTTCTAAAAAAAATTTTTTTTATACTCAGAAAATTGCATTCCTGAAACATGTCAGCTGTGGAACTTAGGATTTATTGTCAGCCATCTTCACGCTATTTTAATATCAATTGGTTTATCGTTCCGGATATATGTATGATGGTCTTGTCTGGTCGGCACATGAAGGGTCGAAACTGCGTAGCTGTTGTAGGGTGAAAGCGGTTAATTTTCTTGTTTTATCCGCTGGACTCTTCATAAGGTTGTAGCCATCGAAAGGGTAGGTTTCAAATCCGAGCACCACCATCCCGGTTTCATGTTCGAATAGATTATATGAAATAAAGGATTTTAGTTCATTGTTGATGGAGTAGTATCTATTACTGATCTGGCTATTCTGATTCAAAGAATTCATGACCAAAGTGTTGTGGCATAAACAGATAAATGTACACCTCAGCCAAAAACCTTGTACTGCTCATTCAGGTCCCATTTGTACTTGCCTCGAGTATGAAATGGCAAAAAATAGCTCACTCACTTTGTCCACCCTGATCCGCGGCTTTTTTACTCGGTTTCCGCTTGACCTCCACGCGAGTCAAAATACCCGTGGCACTCGGGATCACCTGTAGGAAGCATTTGCAGGCCAACATCCAGGTCGATTGAGAGGGACAGGCATATTTGAGGGCCATTGGCTTGTGAAGAGTCTGAATGGATGTGAATAAGGGAGGATGGGAGTGGGAGGGGAACATCAGGTTTAGAGAGAGAGAGAGAGAGAGAGAGAGAGAGAGAGAGCGAAGCGGATGAAATTCATTGCGAATCCCGGATCTTACTTGTCTGTTACACATTTTGTGCAGTACAAAGCTGTACACATAATTTCTAACGAGAAGTGGTCAATGAAAGTCTAGGAAAAGATAAAAAACGGATAAAAAGTGGTAGTAGCTAAGGCGAGATTCGTACTCGAAGAAACCAGATTCGGTTCGATTGTAACTGATTCTGTCTAATTACTAGCGCCGATCTGTGGTTCGATAGGAACGAAAAGTCACCGTACTAAAATTAATTTCTTTGTACTGGGATTTGAGCGTGTGTGTGTGTCAAAAACAGCGTAAAATGTTGCTAACTGATTGGAATAGAATTACCGATTGAACACGAACGAACAAAAGGAGGAGTGAGGTTAGAAGCAAGCAATTGACCCCAAACCGCGGTAGTGACGAGACAACACAAGGTGAAATAGAAAAGATTTTACCCACCTCATGATCTGTATCACAGCCGTGTCCGCTACAGTATGGATCCAATTTGTCAGAATTGATGAGCGATTTTAGGTGTGTGGTTCCTATATGGTGGAAAGCAAGCAGTTCAAGCTCCTGCCATTAGCGGGTTCAGAGCTCTAAGGACTATGGCACGAACCACGTCACGACCACACAAAGTTTGTTCACGAACAGTTTCGCTATGATCTGGTTCAATCTGATGACTGTTTTGCTAGAATCATACGTGATTCGCTATCTCCAGGGTCTGAATAAGCGGTCCCCGTAAATGAACACAAATTCAAGATTTTATGNNTTTATGATGATTAAATAATAACGCTGAATTTTTTGGTGACCCACAGGGTTCACATGGCATTGCAAATAAAACAATCGATATCCATGACAGCAGAAAAAGAGCATGTTATTTCAATACTTCATTGAGCCTCAACTTAAACTAATCGGTGTATGGAGCAAAACAATTTGGGACGGAAGAAAGTTACGGGCGGAACATAGTCTGATACCGAAAGAGTAACGCTGGTAATCTAGCAGAATCTTCTAGGGCACCAGTGTAAAGAAATATCCTTGGGATGATCAGTTGTGTATGGTGTCAGTCGAGTACCGCATGGGTAGTTAGGTTGATGCAATATTAAGTATATGCATCGAGTTATTGTGATTAAACGATGGAGTAACTTGTTATACTACTCAGTATATAATAGAATGTAATAGAAAACCTAAAAATATAGGATACGAATTAGAGTTTATATAACGACAAACATGGATATCCTACCACAATATACAATGATAGATACATAATACTAGAGGGCGAAAATTGCAAATTGCCATCAGAATTGTCCGAAAGATAATCAGGTGAAATAAAGCTGTATACGGGTGTGTAATTCTGCCGTGAATTGTAAGAAACGAAACTTTCGAACAAAATATGACCGACATTACGGCGTCCACACAACTCACACAGCCAGTCTTCAGCGCTTGATTACCAAGACGAGTCTCAACAAGGTTGGGTTTTGGATGACGGGCATCTGGCGAGATGCTGCAAATTTGAACTCGCCCAGTATTTCATATATAGGGTGTGAAACATCCCCAGCGAGCGTTTATTCTCGATTCGTGTCGACGAGAACATTTCGTGCGATATCGCAATGAGATTGCGCGTTGTTTCTCACTCTCTTCCTCGTGTTATCAACATCCTCTCGCTCCAAACTCTTGATCCCATTACTACTTACTGTATCATAATCACTCGTGATCGATTTTCTGTGTGTGTATCACTCGATATAGAGCTGAATGCCATCTACGCTTGGAAACCAAAAAGTGAATCATTCTTCAGGCAGCAAAATGTTTCGAGATTACTGATAGTGGGACCTCATCCACTTTCATTTGCTACCAAGATTCGATCACAAGTGTGAAACCACCCTCATGAAGTAAGTGTATCTTGATATTTGCAGAACGGCGGGGGAGAAAACCTGTTTCTTTTTCAAGCATACTACTCATTGCTGTTTTTCTCTCACTTATAACCTCTTTAGATTCAAATGAACAACTATAAATTGCGTTTTGGGATGAATACTCTCACGTATCCCTCGAGCAGTTGTCTCTATGATCTAGAGGTTCACCTCTTTCCCGTTTATTATACCTGTCACGTATAAACGAACAACCTTAAAACACGTGTGTTGTGTCCCTGTTTAAGTGGGTAAATAAAAATGCAATCAACTAGGTAGTACGTTTGTTGTAAAGGGTACACATGTAACCGGTCCACAAATCGGTAAGCTGGCGGGAATGGGTAACACACACTAGGGCAGACAGGTAGGCCGACAACTGGCTG